TAAATGACATTATCATTGAAAACTTCCTTACTTGTCTCTATATTACTGCACACAATATAATTTTCTCTCATCCAGAGGGACTTTAATTCCCATACAGATAACCCTCTCAGCACCCTAGTTTCAGTTTCTGGACCCTATTATGTTCAGTGAAGTCGACTTTTACACATCACTCAATCATTTCCAGGATCATCCTGGACACCTGATTATGGAGTGGTGTAATGATGTGCAGCTCCTTCACCATACTGTTCATGAAACTGAGCTGCTTACCAATCAAACTCAAGAATCCAGCTCACAGTGAATTTTTATGCAGACCAAACAGATCTATCACAGGTGTATTAATTGAGTTCTGTGAGCATCCTGACTGTCACGATGCAGAATAGTATTGACAATAAAGACTTTTGTAAAGCCACCAAAAAAAAAGGACAGAAAAAAAAATTAGAGTAAAATTGAACTTCTTTGGGTTTCCAATGACTGCCATCCCGGACAACTTCTGGTCTCACAGTAATAGCAATTCCTCATATCAAATAACTAAAGAAAATGGCAAATCTTTACTTTTCCAGTAGTTCAACATATTTTACAATAACAAAAGAAATCTGAATACTCACTAGACTCCAGTGGAGGGTGGGAGCTCTCAGGAATCCGGGGAATGTCACTAAAAGAAACAGTTTATGGTGAAAATCCCATCAGCTAAACCGCCCTCCCTGAGGCAATCATAGCCACTTTATGTGATATAAAAAATCCTTTTAGGTGGAAATGGACAGAAGTTACTATTAAGGCAATTACTAATGTACATGAATGTCAAACATCACACAAAAAAAATTGGAATAAAAATAAGTTTTTATATATTTAATAGCAAAACACTTTACCATGACAACAATCAGATTAATATTGTGGTTAAAATCACCACAATATTTTTACTACCAAAACAGCAGGTTTTGGAAATAAAAAAAATGTTAAAGGTAATAGTTTAACTTCAATTCTAGAAAATCAAAATGACACAAATTTTACAAATCAGTAGTATGCTTTACAAACACATCTGAAAGAGTTTACTGAATGAAAGGGATGGAAACATCTCGATAATAAAATGATATGGTGAAGTATCATGGGCAAAGTTAATAAAATGAAAAGAATGAATTGCTTTGGAAATTAAAAATGATTAAAGCTTGCAACAAAAAAGCCAAAATACTTTATATATGTGAATATATAATACATATACACATATATATCCTTTATAGAGATTCCAATCTCTATACTGAAGTAAGCTAAATATATGGCTATTTATTATATGGTAAGAAAGTGACTTGTGAGAACACCCATTCCTGCCACGCTTACAAATAACTCTGAGGCAATATTTAACGTAACCTCAGTTTAATCCATTACCCACTATGACCTTCAGAACCCTGAGTCACCCTGGTTTGGGAACTGGACTGCATAGGACTACTTTGCCCCTCATTTTCCAAAGCTATTTTAGTATTAATTTACGGAGATTAACAGTATGCATATATTGACTTGACACATTAAAGCAGACTGGAGTCAGCTAGTACCAACAGAATTATCAGTATATTGTTGAAGAATTTCTAAGCACTTACCTCGTGACCTAACTTTGCTTTGGGTTTCTTTTCACTTTTAGGGGGAATGGAAACAAAAAGACCTTTCTCTCTGTCTGATTGTTCTCTTTTCACTTTTTAATGTAAAGTATCTTTATAACCACCTACAATTGATACGTTTTACTATGGCAATACACTTATACTGTGCATGTTATAAAATACATTTTAATATATATTTTCCTATTACTAACATTTTAAATAAATGGTTTATGTGAATTTATAATTAAGAGACTAATTTAGGTTACTTAAGACATAAGAAACCACCTATTTATCTTCTGGTACCTTCTTTTCAATTATCTAAGCAAATAAAAGTAAACTGTAAAAAGTCTCGGAAGAATCCTATTTTAGAGAGTATGACTTCGTTAATAACCAGCCTCATAGTCTATTATGATATTAGGATTTGGAATTCTAAAGCCATGGACAGGCTTTGAGTCTTATATATTTGTGAAAGAAAGTTGTGAGGAAGTTGTTGAAAAAGAAATTAAGTGATTTTTGAATCAAATTTATTTATGTTAATTACTTTAGTAATACTTTCAGGCATAAATTTCCACTTGATGTTTACACAAGACTTCTTCTTAATTAGTTCTAATCACCGATTAGGTGGCAGAGTAATACGACTAATAATTATAAATATAAAACTCAGGAATATTGTTTTTAGTAGGTTCATAAAATTGGTCAATACCTCAAGGTGACCACTGCCTCTTAGACTAGGCTGATCAATGTCCATGTAAGGCATATTTGGAATAATTCCCAAACTCACTATGCCATTAAGTTTTGAGTATTGCATTCTGCTTAAGATTATAGTCGCTAAACATAGCTACATTTAACATAATATTAAAACACAGCTAAACTTATTCTCCTTGGGTTCTAATAACATATTATCCAGGACAACTGATGCCAGCTCTGATTTTTATTCAATTGTAACCTTTGTATTCCACATTCCTTTCAATTCCATAATCCATGATCCTTTAGAGTCTGGCTACGTGGATGATTATTTCTTAAGTAGTTTTCATATAAAAGTAAAGATAATGTTATTCCAGTCTGCTTTAATTGTCTGTAATTTTTTAAAGTCACCATGAATCAGTGATATTTTAGCTGTTTCCTTTTAAACCACTATATATCTGAAAGTGTGTGGCACTGTGCACAAATCTTGATTTTAAATTTTGTGTCTTATACTTTTGATTCATTTTTCAATTTACTTACCTCTTTTTCAGCCTCATATTTACCTCAGCACTAGAACATATGTCATGGAAAACTAGCATAAATTGTCGTGTTGTTATTTTAAATATCTACATGGAAATGTACAATATTTTGCAAATGTCTTTTAATAACCACCACTCAAAATTGGTTTCAAGCTTGCCCTTATTTTAGAGTTTTATATATTAATATTATTCTTTGGTATATATGATCATACATTTTCATTCTTTGAGAATTATAATAATTATACTTTCCTGTATGTTTTGCATTGACATATATTCAGGAGGTCAAAAAAAATTAAGGTTATCACTCTTTCAACATAAAAACTCTTGAATTAATGGCTCTGTATTATCTTGGAGAATAGGGATAAAAAGAATTATTTTCAAGAATACATTCAAACATTCAGCCAACTATAATGAGACAATTCAAAATGCCTTCCAAAAAGAACAGACTGGCAAATTAATATTTATTCTGGACATTGTGTTTGCCAGCCAAAGCTAACAGCATGGGAAAAATCTATACATAGATATACAAAAATCTCCCATTATCTATAGATAATGATGCTGAAAATTGAGGTTTTAAAAATATCACATCAATTATTATAATCAATCAATATTTATCAATCAAATATTTATTACTTGCTTCATTTTAAATAAGACGTGGCACTACCTCTGAGTAAACAGAGAGAAAAAAATCCTACCCTTAGTGGAATAATAAAAAAGTTCATAGAGAAATATAAAGTTATTAATATATTAAATACCACAAGAAGAATTTGCTTGTGGTTCTCTAAAGGAAATACTACTTACTGAATCTGAATTAGTAGAAAAAAAATTATTTTTACTTTATAGTTCACTTGTGAAAAATACATATCAAACCGTTTTGGTATTATAATTGTTAAACTGTGGAGCTTCTAAATATGGTGGAGAAAATTCAATATTTTAGTTTAAAAAATTAAGAAATTTAAAAAATCTAACATGTATGCCCATAATTGATGGAAAAAAAAACTATCCATGTTAACATGTACTATATGAATGTATAAAATTCTTTTTAAAACCCTGCTAATACATGTAATTTACTAAACTTAAGAAGTAAGTTTTTTTAGCCTTACCCAATAGGCCTTGAAACAATAATTTCAACTTGAGGTTCTGATTTTGATTCTAAAATAATGTTGTAAACTTCTTCATTTGTAGCTCCCGGCAGGGGTTTACCATTCCATTCTAGAACTTCATCCCCTTGAATTTAAAAAAAAGGGTATTTTTTTACCTTATATATTCTGTTTATTTTTCTTATCTTTTCTCTTTTCTAACAAAGAAATGCAAAACATATACAAATAGTTTAGTTGTCTTAGGCTCTGCCCTCAAAAGCGAATTGGTTGCCGTATAATGTCAGCTAAATGGTTCTTCTAAACACTTTTCTCCTTCTTTTCTGTTCTCCTTTATTTCCCTCAGAATATTACTGGTTTCTCGAAAGAGTACAATACAAAACTACTTTTATCTTTTAAGATATACCAGAAATAATACAAAAATAATCTCATGCTATGGGATGGAATTAGCACAGCCTATTTGGAAACATTAGAAAATAATAATTAGCAGCATGCCCTCTATATAATAAATGTAGGCGGCTCTTTATGTGAAAGATTCTTATTAAACTATACATTAAGTCTTGCTTTATTTTGGTAGAAACAGCAGTTAACATTTGTTAGCATGAAGTTTCCAAGTCTAAGTCATGCTTCCTTATCTTCACCAGATGCACAACAGAATAAAGATGCATGAGAGGGTTTGAGTTCACACCCATTGCAGGTAGCTATGGCAAAGTTACAAAGCAAGCAGATGTAAAACTGTTGCATGACAGTTAACCCACTTCCAGATGTTCAAAACACATATATTCTGTACGTACTCTATCTTGTAAACATTAAAGTACGAGTAGAAAATAATTTAAAGTAATGAAAAAGTCAACACACCACTTATTAAATTTGTTAAACATTCTAAGATTAATCATGAGAAGTAGTATGATGTGGCATTAAAAATATGGGCTAACAACGTGTAGTTGTTGTATCAACTGGAATTTTCACCTTTGAATGTTTGGAAAAACATTAAAAATACGCAAGCAGTTAAATCCCAAATAGTTCCCACCCAGGGTCCTTTAATTCAAAATGGCGGCCTCCACTGAAATATCTCAGCCTCAATAATACACTGAGGCCTCTTATTCTGATGTTCGTGCTTACTTTGTTGTTCTCAGTGTCTAGAACATTTTGGTAGTTAAATAAATGTGTATTGAAATGTTGGGTCAGTATCTTCGTTGTACATTTTAAAGTTAGATGTAAATACATAATTTTTTAGTTTTTAGATAAGATTTTAAAAAAATAGAAAAAAACTGTTTTACTAGGATTATTTTAAAGCAATGATTTTCTTTCCCAGGTGTTTGCCTCCTCAAAAGTAAAAAGTAAAGATGTGAAAAGCACATGATGCTGTTTTGGTTTAAAAGTAGTACACCTATGGTCCATCTTACAAGGGTACATGTGAATCTTTCTAAATGTCTTAACACAATAACTAAGAAAATGCCATGAAGGCTATGTTAACCAGTGTGATGAAAATATTTCAAATTGTATATAAAACCAGCACACTACCCCATGACTGCATTAATGTACACAGCTATGATTTAATAAAAAAAAAAGTAGTACAGTTATTACCAAGATTTAAATAACTTCCAATAGTTCCCTAAGTAGTTACTCAGAAAAGCTTTTCAAATTTGCAATGCATATATTTCACTGTCAAAAACAAAACAAAACAAATAATTGTAAATTTACAATATATTAGGAATCTTTTCAATTTTTTTTTTGACCAACAAAAGAAATAAAGTCTACATCATGGCTCAGTACATACATATGTGTATGAATATAGGTATGTATATGAAAATATACATACACATATATACTGAAAAATATTTTATGAAACCATACTTACCCCAATATTCTCTATTCTATTATGTTCTATTTCAATTTTTTTTGAAATGATGCAAACCATTAAATTGACTCTAGTACCCATGAGTTTCAACCAGCATTTTGTAAAAGCACTGCTTTATAAAATTCTCTTTCTAGACATCAACCTAAAAACATAACTTCTAATATTATGAAATTAATTCACACACTCATTTATTACAGATCAATAACTCCTAAATAAGAATGTGATCTCTTTAACACTATTTATTTATAGACAGGGATAATTTCTTCAGGCAGGGACACAGACAATGAGGATACAAAGGTGAAAATGACATTTTCTCTGTCTTTAAATTTGGTGGTAGAGAAATAACACAAAACAAATAACTTTAATAAAATATGTTTTATGCAATAATAGAAGTTCATTTGAGGAACAGAAGTAGAGCCAGGTGGTACCGAGGAGCGAGTAATGAGTTATTGCTCTACGTGGGATATGAGGAACCCCTTTAAAATTGAGGCAGCTTTAGGTACCTTTTGAAGGGTGGAAAGGATTTCAGCAGAGCAGAGAAGCTATGAGATAGACGGGCGGTACTGACCACTTCCTGCAGGTGGCAAACAGCTTGCCAGGGAGCTATGGGGCAGCTGATTTTGTTGGAGCACGGAAAGCATTAGTAACAAGCAGTGCTACAGAGCTTGGACGTGAATAAAGGATGACCAAGAGACACTGAAGGGCCATGTTTGTGTTTTAGATGGTTAAATCATGTAGCAGCACAGGGCCTACACTTAAAGGGGTCAGGACTGGAAAAAGCTATGGCAAGATTAAAACAAGACTGCAAATGTTGTATTAAAGGTCACACTGAAAAAAACAGAATGAAACAGATCTGCAGTGTAGATTTTTAGGCCAATGATGTTGATATTCAAATAGAAGAAAGAGTTCCTGAATTATAGTGTAAATCATATAAAATAGATAATTGAATCCACAAAAACACTTTAGTTTCTTCAAATCCATAAATCGCTTAAGTAAAATGTACACTTTTCTGTCTTATAGTTATTTTAGGTGAGACTTAAACATTTTAAATCTAAGTTTCTCAGGTTCTAGGCTCATGAACATATTATGTAAATAAAATTAATTACTACGGGTTGTTTTGTATAGAAGACATATTTCCTTGACTTCTCAAGTAATTTTGTTTTAGAACACAAGGACAGTATCAAAAGCCATTGTGCTTAGAACCTGATCTGCAAGCTCAGGGTTTTGTAGTTAAAGTTATTTTGCATTATCCAACATAGAATTATCCTACTTTCTGAGGTTTATTTTTGAGCCATTAGACAAAGACTTACTTTAGTTTATTGACAAGAGTCATCCTTAACTGATTATTTTTTACTGAATCATAACTGGTTCCTGATAAGAAGTAACAGCCTACCATACTCCAGACATGTTCAAAGCTACAACATAGATGGAGAAGAATCCTGATTAGGTTATTCTTCCTATCAGGATCAATTTCCTACCACAGAAAACATTTAACATGATTTTGAAATGATATTCTGGTAAATAATTAATTGAGAAGTCTTTAAACAAATCCTAGAAGATTTCCCCAAAGTTCTCAAGAATTATAATCTTAAGGTTTAAAAGTTGAAAATACAGTGTGGAAATGTTCTCTTTTTGTGTCTTATGGGTTATTAATCTACCTCTTCTTCCTCTTTTTTTTGAGACAGAGTCTCACTCTGCCGGCTTGGGTTCCTGGGTTGAGTGCCGTGACATCATAGCTCATAGCAACCTCAAACTCTTGGGCTTGAGCAATACTCTTGCCTTAGCCTCCTGAGTTGCTATACTATAGGTGAGCACCAGCCCACCCTGCTAGTTTTTTTTAATTTTTAGTCCAGAAGGGATCTGGCTCTTACACTGGTGTTGAACTCCTCAGCTCCAGCAATCCATCCGCCTAAGCCTCCCAGGGTGCTGGGATTACAGGTGTGAGCCACCAGGCCTGGCGAGTTATTAATCTTAAATTCTATAGCTCAGCCAACTGTTTTTTTGTAATTGTTTATAAAAAAGATAATTATTTATAATTATTTAAAATTTTGTGCATTTTGGCCAATGCATAAAAAGACATTTTAACAAGAAGATTTCTACTAAACTATAGTAGAAATGTGGAAGAAATGTGTAATATGGTTTTATCTAAAATCAAAAGTTAACACCTTACCAAAAATGGATTTTAAAATATTACATCTAAATGTATGGTACATTTAAGTATAGTAAATGATTCTATCTTGTCATGTTAAAATTTCAAGCCAACATAAATAAATTTACAAATACGAAGAGGTAGCACATCCACATAAGTATCAGTATGTCACATCTAAACTAACAAATGTTTCATTACATAATCTGTATGAAAAAATTGATCATGATTATGTTTTATAACAAATGCCTCTCCTGAATCAGTGTTTGGGACCACTGTGAAAAACTTTAGTAATTACTGTAGCTTAAAATATAAACTAACAAATAAAGTAGTACTACGGGATATTTTTTTCACAAAGCTAAGATGTATTAGGTTTGAAGTTTTATAGCAATATTATGAAGTTGTCTATAGAATGAATAATTCTTCTATTTTGCACCTATTTATTTTCATATAAATAAAAGAAATACATGCTCTTATGCTCTCCAATTGAAACTTATTATTGAAAATAATCCATATCAGGAAAAATATTTGTATTCATACATTAAAATTAGTAAACGTAATTGAGATACATAAATACACATTGAAAACCAGCAACTCATGCATAGAGAGCACAATGTTAGAATGTTAAAGAAGAACTTTACCTGCTCTTAGGTGCCCAACCACATCCGCCAGGCTACCCTTCTTTACTTTGGTGATGAAAGCACCAAGGCGTCCTAAGTCAGTCATTTTTCCTCCAACAACCTGAATAATTATAAGTTTGTAAATTCCTAAGACTCATTTCAAAACATAAGCTTATTAGTTTAAAAAATTAATCCTACAACTCTTTATTATATATCTAATAATGAGTATAAGAACACTGATGAAGTGAAACATACTTTTAAAGGAGCCGGCGGTATAGTTCTGAAAATAAAACAACTCATTATATTGGAGACGGCCATGTGTCCCGGGGAAGGAAATGTACTGACTTCTTAAAGTGACCAAATGATGAAAGGGCACCGTGAATACCGTACACACTTAGAAGACAGGTGCCAGGTCTTAGTGTCTCACAGCAAGCGTCTGATACTACAGTATGGCTCACTTTTCTTTATCTTCTAAATTCATGCCTATCATTTGAATTATTATTTCTACATGAAGATAATTCCCCATTGCCATAGGAGATCTTGCTCTCTTTTGTATATTTGTAGTAGATTATAGGCTTAAGACCATAGAAATTAGGGGTTCAGGTCATGAACAGACCACTTGGGGGAAGTTATTTACCATGGCGCAAAAGCTTAATGGACTAAGTATACCTCAGCAACTGGCCATCTCACCGGAAATTCACCTCTGGACCCTTACAACTCTCACAGTGTTCATTCTACCACAGAATACACTGTCGCATGGCATTTTCTCTACACTGAAATTAAGTATAGTGTACAAGTGAGAAGTTTCTAGGTTTAATTTCTCCCAATGCAGGGGCTCAAATATGCAATAATGAAAAACAAAGGGATTATTACCAAAGATTGAGGCTGATTCACAATTGTTAGGGATATAGCAATTAGCAGAGGTGATCGGAATTATTTCATAGCAAGAGTAATTAATGATGATAATCACATAGCACTTTTAATAGAGGATTTTTTAGTTTTGTCAATGGTTTTGAAAAGATAAAATTACCACATAGCTGAAATAGAATCTCTTGATTAATAATAATGTTAAAAAATCTTTATTTTTTTTAACTTTCTGAAAGCAAATAAAACCATGCAGTTTAACACATACACATCTGCCCACCTAAACTTCTATATACAGGTGTCCATAAAACTTCGTGTGCAATTTTAAATGGCACACTATCTTACATAGCACGTGAACTTCATGGGCACCCTTTATATATGTCTGTATATGAGTAGGTTTACATATATGTATATGTTTCTACAGTAAAATAATATTTTACAATAAATATATCAGCTTCTCATTGTATTTGTTAGAAGAGAATTAACATTTTTAAAAAGTACATTTTATTCTTTTGGTATTGTAATTATAATACCAAATACATAAATATTACTGTAATTAGGAAATAACCCCTCCAATGAGGTTTTATGTTGCTGCTCCAGTATGTGTATGTGTATGCATACGTGTATGTATGTTCACACGTGTAGAAAATTTGTGATGACATACTTCAAAGTGTTTAACAGTAGCTACATCTGTAAGATGAGGCTGAGAAGAAAGAAAATGTTTTTTGTGGTACTATTTGCAGTTTTCAAATAAATTAAAAAAATATGTAATAAAGGTACACTAACTTTACTACTTTCCATTTAAGCCTTTTTAATGTAAAAATCATCCTGAACTTTCTATTCAGAAAAACCCACAGTTTTCCTAATTTTCCTACCACATCTATATGCTGTATTGAAAAATATTAACTCAGATAAAAATACTACACTTAAGACATAACCATAGTAACAAGATATATTCACTCAAAGAATTTCATTTGGGAGAGCAGAAGGCGACATTTAGAAGTCATTGTCAGAACGTTGCTGAACACAGTCCATACTTTAATAAACTGAAATCCTGTAAACGAGCACACTTACTTTCAGACCCAGCAATGCGCCTGACTCTTTGGGCATAGTTGTTCTCTTGTTAAGAATAACACGTCCGATTAATCGATCCCCCTCTTTAGATGGCTGCCACGTTACAGGATGCTAGGAAAACAAGAACAAAGTTTCAAAAGTAAGATATACACAAGGGAATCTTAGTCAATCATTAAAAAAAAGAATGAAATCCTCTTGTGGCAACATGAATGGAACTGGAAGACATTACGGTAAGTGAACTAAGCCAGGAGCAGAAAGTTAAACACCGTATGGTCTCACGCACACGCTGAAGCTAAAAACAGTTGATCTCATAGAAACAAAAAGTAGAACGGAGGATACCACAGGCTGGGAAGGGTAGGGAGATGGGAGGTCTCAGGACATATTTGTTAAAAAACCATAAAATTATACCTAGTTAACAATAATATGTAGTTTCAATTAGTTAGGAGTAGGATAGTGAATGTTATACTTGTGCCTTTACAACCCGAACGGTGTGAAGTACAGACACAAGAGAAATGTCTGGGAGACAGAACTGCTAGTGAACGCCATCTATTCACTACACACTATATGTACTGAACATCACGATGCAGCCTAGAAATACATACAGCTATGATATCTCAGCTATAAAATAAAATTAAAAAAATAATAGGGAACTGACATGAAAACTTACGTTATTTAAAAATATTTTCATTTATAATATCAATCTAAAATGTATTTTAAAATGCCAAGGAACAGATAAATAAACTGTGGCAATATTATTCAGTATTTAAAAGAAGTAAGCTATCACGCCACTAAAAGACTTGCAACTGACTATCCCATACATAAATATCTGTGTCCAGACAGGGAAGAAGAACCTTCAACACATACTGCTAAGTGAAAGAGGCCAATCTGAAGTCTGTATATACTGTGTGCTTCCAACTATAAGACCTTCTGGAAAAGGCAAAACTATGGAGATAGTAAAAAGATCAGTAGTCATTAAAGCTCAGGGGGAGGAAGGAAGTGAGTTATGAACAGATGGAGCCCAAGAATTTCAGGGCAGGGAAATTGTTCCGTATGGTGCTGTGATGGTAAATATATGAGATCGTACATGCGTCAAAACCATAGAATGTACAAGGCAAAGAGTGAAGCCCAGTGTAAACCATGCACTTCAGTCAATAATAATGCATCGATATTATCCAATAAATGTGCCACATAAAGGCAAGATATTAGTAACAGGGGGAACTGAGATGGAGGAGGAGGTATATGGAAACTGGACTTTCTTCTCCATTTTTCTGTAAAACTAAAACTGCTAAAAAATATATAGCCCCCTGATTTTTTATAAAGTAAATGCATTCTCTCCTATAGACACATAATTAGGGGTTGTAGCATGATGCAATTATCCCAGCTAAAAAATACTAAGCCAGGAACAGTGGTTCATGTCTGTAGTCCCAGCACTTTGGGAGGCAGAGGCAGGAGCTTAAGACCAGACTGGGCAACATAGCCAGACACATCTCCGCAAAAACTAAAAAAGATTAGTAGGCTGTGGCTGTACATGCCTGTAGTCCTAGCTGCTTGAAAAGCTGAATCAAAAGGATCACTTGAGCCCAGAAGTTTCCGGTTGCAGTAATGGCGCCACTGCACTCTAGCTTGGGTGATAGGAGCAAAACACTCACTGTGTCTAAAAAAAATAAGATTTAAGAAAAAAAAAAA